TTCAACCAAAGCAAGATTTCTGGCTTGGCAGTCACAGTTCCGACAACTCGACCAAACTAGTCAGACAATCTGTCTATAATGTACCATTCTCTCCGTGTCGCACGTTAAGAACAAAACAATACTCATACAGGTGGCCATAGGTTAACACGAAGCGGTCGAGAGGCCAATACTAATGAGACAAAATTATAAACGCACGTGAACTATTGTGTGTACCGCGCCTTATTTCTGACAGTCTTTTGTTCGAATTTTGAATATTATTGAGGCATCCAAATAGAAATAGTGGCCGGGATTTTCTGTTATTTTTTTTAAAGAACACTTGTTTAAATATCGCTTTTAAAAAAATTTCGAATATTTTAATTTAAATGTAAAAAAACAATGTTTCGTTTCAGGTAGGGAGATAGAGAGAGATTTACTTACTTCATCTAATTAGTCCCGTAATGTAAATAGTAAGGCACAAAAATACTCGCCTCTTATGTAGATACTAAGATACCTAACATCACACCTTTTATCCACGAAGGGGTAGACAGATGTGCACATTACGGCATTTAACGCATAATGTAATACCCACTTTCCACTATTCATGTTCTGAGTCCCATAGGGGTGAGCCTATTGTCATATGCCGGGCACAATTACAGACTTCGCTTCGTGCTACTACTGAGATGTTTTTAAAAACCCAGTAATACTTTGCCCGATCCAGGAATTAAACCCGAGACACCTTGCCCAGCAGTCGCACTTGCGAACACTCGGCCAACGAGGCAGTCCAAATAACATTACAAAACAAAAAAAAACTATGATGTTACGTAGAAAAAAAAAACTTTCTTTTCATAAAATCTATACATTTCATCAATCATATACGTGTCACAACTTTCATTTAAAATCAACTTTAATACAAAATTAATTGAGATCTTGCACCAAGAGTTGGTAATAAATTGTCAAATCATTTGTATAGTTATTTCATAACCAATTACGTTGGGATAACCACAGACTAAAGAGTTATTAATTTTACATCGCAACAACCTGTTTCGTTTTCATAACATTCATTAGTCTTGCGTTTCTGTACGTTGAGTATAATAATTATGATAAGTACAAATATATGCAGCTTCATAGGTATTTACTTCAATCAAAATAAATGTTTACGTAGAGACAAGTTGCTGATAACATTAAGTACTTAACATTAATTTTTTTTTTTGAGGCAGTGGTTAAAAGCGTCACTGTTAATCCTATTCCTTTTTAGTTCAGGTCAATTCAAGTTCAATCCAATAAAATCTCAATAATTATTCAATGTCAAAACTATACGACCCGAATCTGCTAAAATAGCATTCAAAGTACGGAATGTAAAGCCAAACTCAATACCATTTCGTTCATTCAATATCCACGTAATACGGATGCAATGGGCGCTAGAGTTGCAAGTGAAGAGTACGTCACAATGTCAATGTCGATCGATCGGAATTGGATTTAGGGGTAAGTCCCCAGTTGTGATCTATGGCAGAAGGAGCACCTATGTTCATCCCACGGGGTGAATGCCCTTAAATACCAAGTTAATTGCGGTCAGCATAATATGTTCTCTTTTTTACATTATCCTCCGGTACATATATACCGGTCTGTCTGAATGATATCATTACATTGCAATTTTATGTCATTCTCCCTTTTATAATCACTCCTCATACAGTCCACCCTCATTCTCTTTATCCTATTTCTTTTCTTCCATCTGGATTTAAATGTATGTGTCTTTACTATAACCAAACACACACGCTGTACTTATTTTATTGTTCGATAATTTTAATAGAAACATGTTTAGATAATATACGACCGGTGAATGAAACCTGTGACATCGTAGGTACTCAGTACCTTTTGTTGCGGCACTCAACCAGAAAAGCAGTTAACATATTTTCTTACTGTTCGAGAAAACAAATGCCTATCATAGAATTTTACATAAACAATGGTAAAAGAATAATTATGGGAAACTTCATCTCATTTTGCCCTGCAAAGGTTGTATAATTAAATAATTACAATGCATGATGCTCGTAAGAGCTGTTACCTGTTATTATTTTGGTACTGTTATGAAAATTATATGACATTATATAATACAGTACTCGCTATATATAAGGTACCTATGTGATGTCTCTAGAATGGACTATGAAATTGTAAAAGCTATAAAATAATGGCTTCTACAATAGGGATGATGACAGGGTATGAAAATGAAAAAAATCTAATTAGTCCGTCAGTTAGGTACTGAAAAAATATTAGATACGCATTTTTTTATTTTAATGTATAATAAAATGATACTTAGATATAACGAATCAAAGTTTAGGAGTGGGGGCTGAAACGTCATTTCTACGTATAAAATGTACATAGAAAAGACGTCACGCGACATTTCAAATCATTACATCGCCGAAAGTCGTTTCGGTAAAAAAATACGTGTGTAATGTTTTAAAATAATAAACCAGACGAACATTAAAATAAAAATTAGTCATCTACCCTATTCTATATAAAATTATTTATAATAGCAAATGAATGTTTGAAATGTGAACCAAGTCTTCAATCCGATAAAACACTACGAAAAAGGATCAATACATTTTCAGTTCAGTGCAAAACAAAAGATAGGTTTAAATAAGAAATGTCAGTTAAAAGCAAATTACTTACTTAAATTATCTTATCAGTCTATTAACTATTGACACCAATAAACCCCAATCAAACAATCTAGTGCACTAGACAATTCATTACGGTGCTTATTAGAATTCAATAATGGCGTCGTAGAGTTCATTGCCGTCCTACGTGTCGATCAACCGCCCGTCCATCTGCGAGGAAACACGTTATAACCTGCGATATACGGGTAACTGGCTATTTATACTCATAATTTGAAAATAGAACCACCGTACTAGCTGTTTATATTGACAGGAATACGTTTATAGGTTTTTATTATAGATTTAAATCCTTTTTCGTGAAATAGTTATTTTTTCTCGGCTCAACTAAATATTTGAAAAGAGAACAGACGAACCTACTGGTAATTGGCTGTTTATATTGACATAAGAGTGACTACGTTTATAGGTTTTATTCAAACTAAAATCCTTTTTGTGAAAGTAGGTTTAATCGGATTCTTTGCTTTTAACAAGAAATACATAAATCGTGTAGATCGTAAAGAACGGTTGCCTGCTTTGAGTTGTAATGAGATTCTTTACATTGTGCACCGCACACCGCTCACGAGTTCAAAGATAGACTTTAGAATCTAGTTGCAGTTGTTCGTCAAACTGTCAACTACCCATGTATAAATAAAAATCGTTTTAGTATGTACATTTAGTTTTTGCAGACTTACTTTTATTGCTTTGTTTACAAATTAAATAGATACAAAATAATTTGTTACCCATAACAAGTACACAGCCCCCATTAATATGTTAAACGTAATTAGCTTTATACAAGTTACAAATCCAACTTGCATGTTGTACCAACGAAATCTCCGGAGCAACTTTTCAAGTTACGCAACGCACGATGTTCTTAACCATCTGTTATGTAGGTACCAACATTGTAAAACGATAATACCATCTGTCATAATCAGGTTGTCATGTTGGTAACACGCACGTTTACGAGAACAATTTTCACGCGATACATCCAACGTCAATTAGTTAAGTAAATATGAAAATGACAGTTACTAATTTATACCATAGCTTCGAATAAATCAACTTCAAATATGGAATCCAAGCGACCGTTACGTTTTTACAAAAGATCGTTCATCTCAAGATCAATGACTTCATATTTAACAAAAATGTCACAAATATAAAACTTTGACCCTTAAGTAAAAACGCGGGTTACTCACGTGAATATACTGAGAAAAGCTCTACTAGTTTCGAACCACAGAGGGGTTCTTCCTCATGAGCAGCGTGCGCGGTCGCGGCGACGTCGCCGCGACCGCGCACGCGCACGCTGCTGAAACTAGTAGAGCTTTTCTCAGTATATTCACGTGAGTAACCCGCGTTTTTACTTAATTTAGTATGTCTCACGATAGTTATTATAAAAACTTTGACCCGTTTAAATATTCTATACACGTAAACTATGGTAATACTCGTAATACGAAATTTACCTCAAAAGGCAAACAGGCTTGTAATAGAGAACCACCATGCATCAACCTTAAGATCTTATCAATGCAGTTCTAAGACAGGTCAACCTTATTTGGTTAGATTTTGATGTTGATAGTTAGAAGCCATCCAGCTGATGGTTGACCAGTACAATTTATTACCGACTTAGCGGTATTTCGACACAATGAGGACCTACACCAAAAAATGAAACGTGACTTGGTTCAGAATGTCGGCCATAATGTTTAGGAGCTAAACATTCTAGTTCTAACAGGACTTCAGATTTATTTGAATGTCACGGTCTACAATGAAATCAGTTCAAACAAACAATGAGTCACTGCTACCAATCCTGATAGAACAAGTCTTAATGCAAAGGAGATACGCGTACCAGATACAGAAATGAATGCATTGAATGTATCACTGCAAGTCAACTTCTTGGATAATCTTTTGACTTTTAAAAGTACTAATGGCAATAAAACTGTACAAGAACACAAGTGATATCAAGTCTTCCAATGCGAACAAAATAATCTTGACAGATGAGATGACTGAGCAAAAACTTGGACTAGACGCCATGAACAAAAACACTGCGTGCGCTGCGCCTGCGTCTACTATCATTTTATTGCTATCGTGTGTAACACACCCACACACGAACAGGTTCGAAAATACGCGCGCATCATTTGTTTCGTCAAAATGGCGGCGAGTCGTTGGACCTCTTACTTTCGATATTTTCACTTTCGTTGAAGTAATACGCTGTATAGATAATGTTATTATTAAGTTACTTAATCTCGTTTGGGACTTCCGTCTGTGGGCGTCGATATTTAGATTATTAATCGGTCTTTAAATAATTGGAACTTCTTCAAGAGATGTAATTATAAATTATGATTGATGTTACTTAATATCTTATCTAAACGTTATGTTTTGTTTTGGTTTCAGGTCTGCAGTACGTGGTTTGTAGAGCTTCGCTATATTTAAGGTGAGTTTTACATTAATAGCATCTAAATAACTTTTTCAATTAAGTCTCTGAGCTTTATAACAATAAATTCTCTTTAATCGTCTATATTTTAATTCGACTACAAATGGTTATCATTAAAAATAATTCCAGACAATGGATGACGTCATCTCTCACTTAGTATCTTTTTTTAATCAAGAATATTTATTATTACGACCTCAGAATGCATTTGCCTTTACTCTGCCAAAACCAGTTTACAGTACCTAACTAAAATTGTTTGACCAATGCACAGATTAATTTGACATTATTATTAATGTTGGCAAAGTAACAAAAACAGACAATTATTTTATCGAGGATTTCATCAAAATGTCAAGAACGCTAGTGTTCGTAAAAAACCGCGACACGAATGGACATCGCATTAGCTACACCAATGCCTAACATCGCTTAAAATACAAAATTAATTTCTCGAAAGGTCACAGCACACGTTTCACAGTCGGTAGTGTGGAAAATTTCCGCAAAAGAAACAGACTTGAAACTATTTTTATTATTAATTTTTATGGCTTCGTCGCTGATATTTTCCATTTTATTAATTAGATTTTTTTTCTTTTTCCACTATTTTGATACTTTTTGATAATATCTCTTTTCAAATGTTATAGTGCACATTCTTATCATTTATTTTATTCTCCAAATGCCTTTTGTTGCACCATTTTTAATTATTTTCCTTACTGGTGATTTTATCTTTTCTCTTCTCGCGCACTCTATAAAATATTTCGAAATAATATTAACTATCATTCAAGTTCTGCTGAAGTATGATCAATACAACGTGCGTATTAAATTGCCTATTATTAGCAAAAAATATTCACATTTGCAAACCTACAGCTAGTCATTGTCAGCAAACATTACTGCAATGTTAATAGTTCACTACGTAATGATAGGCTAAGCAAGAAGTTCATCGACCTCGATGTTTCCATATCGGTAACATTATTATTGTTTATCAATCAAACAGCTAACAGCTCGTGTCTAATTCTAAATGTTATTCATTCTATCATGAACTAAGTGAAAACGTAGATGGAAATGTTTTGAAAGCATATCTCGTTTGGCATTGCTAATTTAGTAAACACTATCGTCATTATATGCACTGGGTTTTTGATCGTGTGCCAATTGTTTTGTAAATATACCCACGTGCGTTTCTGTAACTGAAACTCTACGGTGCACTAACTATAAAACTATAATTATAATCACTATAGAAGAAAAAG